TTCAACATCAATGACAAATGCAGGCAAACAAGAAAACAAAAAACTCTAAAAAAATAATAATAAAGACAAAGATAAGGATAGGAACAAAAAAATGGTAAATGAAATGAAATTACTGAGCAGCAAAGTGGGTTGGAAAAATAGAGGGGTTTGAGCTTGGGTTTGGGCCTGGACTTCCAAGGGAAAAAATGCAAATGGCGAAATTTTAAACCCTTGAATGGGCGCTGCCATTGTCTTTGATGGTCGGCGGGAAAACAGGAAAAGCCGGCAAATGGGGAAAGTGGGGGGTTTGGGGGTTGGGGGCAGCAGCAGCATCCTGGGTTGCCCATTTGCCAACTGGGCTGTAAGTAAGCGCATTTTTTCCCCGATTTTTTTTCTCCGTCGGCTTCTATTTTTCACTGCTGCCTGCCGCCTGCCGCCTGCCGCCGCTTTCCTTCCGCTCATTTGTCTCTGCATGAAAAACCCGCGATTTTCCTCCATTCTATGTGTATATGTGTAAATTCTTTCTTCTTTTTTTTTCGTTGGTTCTGCTTTTAATTGTATTTAGTTACATTAGTAATTATCGATTTTTCCATGGCTTGACGGGACCTTGGCTAGGATCGTTGGACGTTACTGTACCTGCCAGCGGAAATAAGGGCTTAAGTCCAGAGAGGGTTTCATTGGAAATCCAGGGGTTGAGGATGGGTGGGAAACCTTTTAAGAAGATTTTCCCTTTTTTTCTATCATTTTTTTTTGACAAAAAAACGTCACAAATTGGGGCATGTTACATAAATAATGTAAAAGAAATGTATATGGGAAATAAAGTCATTAATGGCTGATATATTGTTGTCTAATGAGGAGAAGTTGTGAGTTATAACAAATGTAATGGATTAATTATAAACGAATTTTAAAAACCCTTGCCGCTAGTGATTGAATCATTTAAATTTGATTTATTTTGGTCAAACTAGAGAAATGTGTAAAATGGACGAGTTTTTCAAATTTTACCATAAATTGGCAGCTTTTAGATAGTATTCCGATCTGGACCCTTCTGACTTATATGTATATTAATGGGGAAAAAATCAGATAAATCAAAAACTGTGAAAACGTTTCATTAAAACAAAAAGACGGACAAACGGACAAACTAACAAAGTGGCAAACGGACAGACGGACAAAGAAAATATGGAGAAGGACATGGCTAGATCGACTAGGATATTAAGGGTCTAAATGACTCCTTCACTACTTTGAAAATTTGTCCGTTTAATTATTATAGTTTGAAAGTATGTGAAAATAAAAACAAAATACAATAATTATTGAATTAAATATGAGTTATACAATTTAAATATTATTTAAATTAAACATAGCTTTATGCAGGAAATCTTAACAACAAATTAAGTTATCAATATCTCCGTATTTGTAAATGTCAAGGAAATGAAAGCATTGTCTGACTTGGTCTTAAAAAACTCTTATAAAACCAAGATGCATAAAAACCAAATCGTATGGTGTAACTACTCTTGTTGTTATATTGGTCTTGGTAAAAACTTATTTAAAATGCACTTTAAAAGTACCAACATCTATATGTTATATTAAAAATCCAGAGAAGAGGAAATGTTCTTTATTGAACTTTTAATTGAAGTCGAGAGGCCTTTTTCCTTGCATTTATTGCCTTGCCTTGTCTTGCCGCCTCGATGCCACGCTGGAACCTTGTTCATTTATGGTTTAGACAGATTTTGTGTCTTTGATCAACGTGGTTGCAGTTGCTTTGGTTTTTATTCACCCCCATTTTTTGTGTTAACCTCTTCTTTTTATGCAATTTCTTTTTAACCAAGCATTTGATACAGTTTTTTAGTTGGTGTCGTTGTTGTTGGTGCTCTGCACTGGTTACTTGTCCTTGTCAGAGCCGGTCTCGCTTTTCAATTATGCCCGACTGGTTCAGGATTCTCTCTGTTTTTAGCCCAGTTAGAGAGAGGGATCTGACCACGAAGCGGGATATGAGGAGGAGCTGGATGAGCTGAAGCAGCTATTGTGCCATTTAAGCCATATATCACTCATACGCAGCATTGACGACGCTTTATTTTCATGCACTAATTGCGTTAGAATTTCAATAGGGGGAAAAAGAGAGAGAGAGAGAGAGAGAAGAAGGAAAAGGGGATTTCCCCTTTCTCCAATTCTCTAGCAATCCTCTTGAAGAGCTCCCTCCTTCGTCCTCTCTCCCTCCTTCTCTTTGATTTGACTTTAGCACATGAAGAGTTTTTAATTGGAATTTGCAGTTGGGAGATTATCAAAACCAGGCAAGGAGCAGTGATTTTTCTCTGCTCCTGCTCCTTGGATTTTTTTTGGGGTAGCCATTGGATACATACGTACATATACATATATACCTGCCCAATGCCAATTTTTTCCTTCGACTTGCTTGCCAAGACTTTGCTGGCCACGCAGCCTTTTTTTCTTGCTCTGGTCTGTGTATTGCTTTACATAAGACCCCGGGACCGGACAGTCCGGAGAAGTCCGTAGTCCGTTGTCCGTAGTCCGGGTGTGCCCTCACGGCCATTAGAGCGCTTCTGTGCTCTGCTCTGTCGTTGTCGTAATTAAAAACAAGGAAAAATTCTGCACGGCACAGAGGCGAAGAAAAAATGTGCCAAGAAGGCGGAAACCCAGGAAGGGATTGGGTCTGGAATTGGGATTGGTATCGGGTCGGGTTGTGGGGTTCGCCTTGGGTTCTCCTCACCTTCCTGCCCTCCATTCCTCATCCCTGCCTGCCCGCAATTTATTTAAATTTTCTGTACCGAACTCTTTTGGCTCCTTCTTAATTTCTTTAGCCCTTTTCTTTACTTGTTTTGTTTTTGCTGCTTTTAATAAAGTGCTGGGCACACTGCGCTCCCAGAAGAAGCTGGAAAAAAAGGTCCAAGAAAATTCTGGAAGAAGAAAGTTGCGTAAATTTGTTATGTACTTTTTTCCACAATTCTTTTTGTTGTTTTGTTTTTAACTTAAATAAATAAATACGAAGGAGGAGAAAGTCGGGGGGTAAAGTCTTGGCGTTGATGAGTAGAGCAGAGCGACCACAGCCCATCTGACACACACACACACAGCCATAGAGTCGAGCAATCATGCATCCTTTCCTGACGTGGACCACACCATACCCGATACCTCCTCCTACCCCTGACCCGTAGTTCCGTTTCCGGCGCCTGCCATTTGCATCTACAGCAGAGCAGAGCGCAAAAAATTGTGTTCTTTCATTTATTCGAAGGATTCTTCATCTGCCCGTTCTCCCCTCACCCCCATTCTCCTGCTCTGTCGAAGAAGAAAAAGATTTTCTTTCTTTCCTGTCTTTATTTATTTTTTTTCTTTTCTTCATTTTTTAAACACACAAACTGGACGACTGGCGACCCGAAGGGGTGGAAAATGGGTGGTGGCCGTGGCGGGAATTTCTTTTTTGCGGCTTGAGCGAACCGAAAGAACGGGTACACAAATTTCAACCTACTCAATTTTTGCCTTAATTTCTTTTCTGTTTCGCCAGGAGACCTTCGGGCCACCCATCGCCAGCCCAATCTTCCCGCTCCAGCTATAGCATCTCCGTCTCCAATCTCCCATCTCCACCTCCCAAGGCTTCTTCATTTTTTTTCTCTTCGCCAGGCGGTAATAAGAATTTTTTCTTGGGCATCTCTCCGGAGTGTGCGTGAGCCGTAGTGTTTTTTCCGTATTTTTAATTTAAAATGCGAAGCATGGAAAATATATATATATATATATATGTATGTATGTATGTATAAACTGGTCGCAGAAGAAGGGACGTGGGTGAAAAAAAAATAGGGGGGGAGTAAGGGAAGGCTCTTGCGCACTGCTTAAAAGAAAAACTTCTGAAGTAAATATTTGTCTGTCCAATTGCTGCGGCGACTGCCAACTGCAGCGCGGATTGGGTTGGGAAAATGGTTGAGATGGAGATGGAAAGATGGCTGGAGGTGGAGACGAAGATGCCGAGGTTGAGGGTGAGGATGAGGGCGAGGGCTATGTGGGTGGTGTGTGTGCCGGTGCTGGGTGACAACAGTGGACAGTGGACAGTGGACGGTGGGCAGTGGGTGTGGGCGTTGGTCGTTGGTCGTTGCTGATGGCGAAAGTGTTGCTGGACGGGTTGCTGCGTCCACTGCTGCGACTCTCTATGGACACTGGTGACCGAACATTGCCAAGACAAGCGACGCCGTAATGACTGTCACAGCGCAAACACACGCCGCCTCCGTCGCTGTCCATTCCACAAAAAAAAAGAGTGAACAAAAATTTCCATCACCTAAGCCCCTGTTATGTATTCCCCAGGGGCACCCTTCCGACAGTGTGTGTGCCTCTTACGGATTGGGCGCGGTTCTTGGAACTCATTCAACTATCCCATGATATAGGCTATTTTTCAATCAAATCTCTTCGTAAATATCTCATATTCAATGTGTGTAAATTGCCAAGGGAAACTGCCCTCGGAAGGGAGGGGGGAGGGAAACGGATAATGTCCTGTAGAGAAATAACCCTTTATGAGAAGTAAAAAATCAAATTCGAAATGGATATGACACAAAATTAGTTCAAGTTAAGGCTTTGATAGTAAAGGTTGGCACGTTTCCATACATATTAAAAAGAAGCCAAACTAGTTTCCATGAATTATTCATAGTAAGATGGTCTGATATATGAGTTTACATGAGTTATTTGAGAATTAATCAGTCATAATTCATATTTAAATCAGCTTAAATGGCACAGGGTTATAATTTGACAAAGTATAAATAAATATTACTACGAAATGTTTTATAATTTTATAGGTTTTAGTTAATAAATAAGATAATCTCCTTTGGAAGGTATAGAAAGATGGTTTAATAGCTTAAAAAATATAAATTAAACCTAAAATACGCTAAATAATCAGTGATATTTATAGGACGGGTTTCTTTGAGGAAAGGAAAGGTTTCTTTTTAGATTTTAGGGTTCAGCTAAATGCCAAGAAGTTACCCAAACATATTTCGGAGAGCAATAACTAATAAAATCATTCACTTACTTTATTCCAGGGCCTCTTGCGCACCGCCGAACAATTAAAGATCAAGGGTCTCTGCGAAACTGCAGAGAATGCGGATGATTTAAACGACGCGGCCACAGCAACGATCACAGTATCGGAGAACATTCAGCAGGCGGTTGTGGGAAACATTGTGAATGCAACCATAGTTCCTGGAGCTCCTTCGCCCACCTTGGAACAGCAACAGCAGCAACACCATCAGGCACAGGGACAGGACCAGCAGCAGGTTCATGCCCAGCAACAGCAGCAGCAGCAGCAAATCAACGCCGCCTTGCTGACGCAACACGGTGGAGTGCCAAGTGGCAGCAGTGGTGTTCCCCTATCCGGACAGTTGTTGAGTACCACAGCGAGCGCCAGTAGCGGTAGCTCCGGCTCCGGCGGACAGCAGAATACACTAACGTCATCCGGCCTACAGGCGACGCCACGCAAATCCCGGCTAAAGCGATCCAAGTCACCGGATTTGCCGACAGGTTCTGGGAGCTCTGGTGCCTCGAGCAACTCACAGTCACAGCAACAGCAGCAACCGCAGCCGGCACACCATCATCCCCACCAGACCATTCTCATCCAGGGCCAGAATCCCACCTCGATTGTCAGCCTACAGCAGACGGCCGACGGCAATTATATACCGGTGGGAGCAGGAACTGGCGACGAATCGGACACCGAGAACGATCACGAGCACGAACACGAGCATATCCACGGACACGGACATCCGCACGGACACGGACACGGCCACAGTCACAGTCACGACCACGATCACGATCACGAGCTCGAGAATAAACCGAACAAGATCTGCAAGACGGAACAGTCGGTGGCATCGCCGGCGTCCAATTCATCGAGCGCCAACTCAAACAATGCAGCGGGCGTGAGCGGCGGCGTGTCCACCACCGGCAACCAAGCCATCGTCACACAAATTGTAGTAGCGCGCGACGGAAAAGATACAAAAAATATGACTAGTTTAGGCATGGGCATGGTAAGTTGGTTTAGTTAGTTAGTTTTGGTTTAGTTAGCAGCTCTCAGCAGCTGCCAGCAGCCTCTCTCCCTCCGGAGGATGAATTTGCCAGATCTCGAGTAGATCTCATTTGCTAACCCGATATTTCCTATCTATCTCTCTCCTCACTATCGAATCTACCTCGATTGCATGCGCAGAACGGCGGCCTGTTGGGCGTGCCCATGGGATTCCTGGACTTTACACCCGAGCCACCAGCACCATCCGCCACCCCAGTCACCGTTACGGAGCACGTCGATCTGTCCTGCAACCCCAGCACGGACACGCGCGATCTATCAAGTGAGTTATCGGTAGTGTTGCCACCGATTCTAGCCGGGATCTCTCCTATCCGAGGGAACATCTGTGACTAATGATCTCTCTTATTCTCACTCCTCAGATCCCACCGAACCGCTCGACATTGACAATCATTTGGCCCAGCAAATACATCGGCTCGATCAGTCCCCCATGCACTCGATATCCCATCACCACACCGGTGACGAGAGCAACTCGAATCTGGTGCAGCACATCAAAAGCGAGGTGATCGAGGCCAAGCACCTGGCAGCGGCTGCCCAGCAGCATGCTCTCAACCAGGCCCAGCAGCAGCAGCAACAACAGCATGCCCATCACCAAGCCCAGCAGCAGCACCAGCAACAGCAGCACCAGCAGCAGCAGCAGCAACAACAGCAGCAACAGCAGCAGCAGCAGCAGCAACAGCATCTTCATGCCCAGCAGTTGCAGGCCCAGTTGCAGCAGCAGCAGCAACAGCAGCAGCAACACCACCAGCAGCAACAGCAGGCGGCAGCAGCAGCGGCCGCAGCAGCAGCTGCTGCAGGTGTGCATGGCCAACATGGGGGACACGTGACGCATGCCGATATTGGCGGTGCCACAGTCATGGAGATCGATCCGAGCCAAATTAAGCACGAACCGGGCATGATAATAACGCCAGAGATTGTCAATATGATGTCCTCAGGACATATGGGTGAGTGTAACCTCTCAGTGATTCTGGGAATACTAGAAAAAATAATAAATAAATAAATCTAAGCTGCTCCCAAGTTAATAAATACTAATAAATTATTTTCCTTTTAAATTTACAGACATGTACAATTCGGACACGAGCGAGGATTCAATGATGATCGCCAACGGCTCGCCACATGATCAGAAGGAGCCGCACTATACGAATTTGGACCAGCAGCACGGTCTGGGCGGCGGCAGCGTTTGTGGCCCGGGGCCAGGTGGTGCTGGTGGTGGTGGGGGCATGAGTGGTGGGGCTGGCTCTGGCTCTGGCGAGAAAGGTCAGTTTAATGGTCCCAAAGCTTGGACACAAGATGATATGAATTCAGCTTTAGATGCATTAAAGAACCAAAACATGAGCCTGACGAAAGCATCCGCCATTTATGGCATCCCATCGACCACCCTGTGGCAACGTGCTCATCGTTTGGGCATCGAAACGCCCAAGAAGGAGGGCGGCACCAAGTCATGGAACGAGGATGCTCTGCAGAATGCCTTGGAGGCGCTACGTTCGGGTCAGATATCCGCGAACAAAGCGTCCAAGGCCTTTGGCATACCCTCGTCGACGCTCTACAAGATTGCCCGAAGGGAGGGCATCCGCCTTGCGGCACCGTTCAATGCCGCCCCAACCACGTGGACGCCCGAGGATCTGGAGCGTGCCTTGGAGGCGATACGGGCGGGTAATACATCGGTGCAGAAAGCAAGCGCCGAGTTTGGCATCCCAACAGGTGAGTTGTCCGCAAATCCAGTCCGGAATTTTTTATCTATAGTCTACTGTTGATGGCATTCCGCTCACATTTCGTCGTCGTTTTGTATATTGTGTTGATTTGGGAAAATTGGGAAGATATTCGCCTCAAAGTATAAAACTTGCATCGAAAAATGCATCGAGTAAAAAAGTTCGATATGACTAATCGATAAAAAAATCACGCTTAACGCATCGAAAATATCACAGTTTGATATATCGCCTTATTTTATTTAACCGATATTATCGATATACATCGGAACAAATGTTTTCTAAATTGTATTTGTCTTATATGTCTTTCGTGTGAATATATTTTAATCATCTTCAAAACCTTCATATTGGTCTGATTTATCAAAAGGAATATCGCTTTATAGCACATACGACTTAGAAATCGTCCTTTGATAGTTGATATCTTCTTCGATATACTACTTCTACCTTTTTGTGCCAGAACATTAGCTGGAATAACACTATCAGAAATGTCCTTTCTATGTGACCCATTTGCTCCGTTGGCCTGGCTTCAGTGCCGCCATGTGTCCTCAGCTCTATTTCGTTTGCCTGTGACTAATTCCATTATTTTTTCCACCCAAAACAACCTCCGCCTCAAAATATAAAAAAGGAACACTTTATGGACGCTGCAAGCGGGAGGGCATTGAGCTGTCGCGTTCGAATCCAACGCCCTGGTCCGAGGATGCCATGAACGAGGCCCTCAACTCTGTGCGGTAAGTGGTTTGAGTGTGTGTGTAAAATACTTCCGTTCAATTAAGCCTCTAATCACCGCATCCTCCAACAGTGTCGGCCAAATGTCCATCAACCAGGCGGCCATTCACTACAACCTGCCCTACAGCTCGCTCTACGGCCGCTTCAAGCGTGGCAAATACGATGTGGTGGCCAATACGAGTGGCGTGGCGCTGCTCAACACCTCGGGCAATACCACCGGCAGCATTGAGATTATCGAGCACAGTCAGGAGAATTCGGTACGTACACAACCCATGGCCTATGACGATAGCTCAACGGCCGCAAAACCCGGCTCGCAAATAACAGTTGACTTTTTTGGCTTGTTTTCTGAGCAAAGATGAACCGATTAACAATTTAGGATGCTATTGAAGAGTGCACAAAAAGTAACTTAACTGAGAAAAATTTAAGGAAAAGTAATGGAAACAAATCGTTATTTGCGAGCTTTGATTTAATTAAAAAACAAGAAAGGAAGCTAACTTCGGGAGGCCGAAGTTTATATACCCTTGCAGATAGAACTTCGATGACTAGGAATCCATAAAATATAAATTATATATATTTATGTTAAAAAACAATGAAGTAATACCTGCTTTCATTTCATTCACCTATACATATTATATTTGCAGTTTTACATTCACAGATTTGCATTTTTTCTCCGCATCTAACGATCGTTTGTATGGCACCTATATGATCTAGTCGTCCGATTTTCATAAAATTTTGCTCAAAATTGTAGAATAATATAAAATGGCCATATCTCAAATTTCATTAAATTTTGTTAAAAACTGAAAATGTTATCGCCACCGCGATTGTCAGTCTTCCGACAACAGCTACCGCCATTCTCAGTCCTCTCAAATTTCTCGTTCGTTTCTATGGGAGCTATATGATATATTAATCCGATTTTGATACAATTTTGCACAAAATTGTAGAATAATATAAAATATCTATATCTCAAATTTCATTAAATTCTGTTGAAAACTGAAAATGTTATCGCCACGGCGATTGTCAGTCTTCCGACAACAGCTACCGCCATTCTCAGTCCTCTCAAATTTCTCGATCGTTCCTATGGGAGCTATATGATATATTAATCCGATTTTAATACAATTTTGCACAAAATAATAATATAAAATATCTATATCTCAAATTGCATTAAATTCAGTTGAAAACTGAAAATGTTATCGCCACGGCGATTGCCAGTCAGTAAATTCAGTTGAAAATGTTATCACCACGGCGATTGTCAGTCCTTAAATTCAGTTGAAAACTGGAAATGTTATCGCCACGGCGATTGTCAGTGATTAAATTCAGTTGAAAATGTTATCGCCACGGCGATTGTCAGTCATTAAATTCTGTTGAAAACTGAAAATGTTATCGCCACGGCGATTGTCAGTCCTTAAATTCAGTTAAAAATGTTATGTTAAAAACTGAAAATGTTATCGCTACGGCGATTGTCAGTCTTCCGACAACAGCTACCGCCATTCTCAGTCCTCTCAAATTTCTCGATCGTTCCTATGGGAGCTATATTAGTCCGATTTTAATACAATTTTGCACAAAATAATAATATAAAATATCTATATCTCATGCATTTAATTCTGTTGAAAACTGAAAATGTTATCGCCACGGCGATTGCCAGTCAGTAAATTCAGTTGAAAATGTTATCGCCACGGCGATTGTCAGTCCTTAAATTCAGTTGAAAATGTTATCGCCACGGCGATTGTCAGTCCTTAAATTCAGTTGAAAATGTTATCGCCACGGCGATTGTCAGTCATTAAATTCTGTTGAAAACTGAAAATGTTATCGCCACGGCGATTGTCGGTCCGACAACAGCTACCGCCATTCTCAGTGCTCTCAAATTTCTCGTTCGTTCCTATGGGAGCTATATGATATATTAATCTGATTTTGATGAAATTTTCCATAAAATTGTAGAATAATATACAAGAAAGGAAGCTAACTTCGGCACGCCAAAGTTTATATACCCTTGCAGATAGAACTTCTATGAATAAAAAACCATACAATATAAATGATATATATTTGTGTTAAAAAACAATGAAGTAATACCTGCTTTCATTGTATTCACCTATACATATTATATTTGCAGTTTTACATTCAAAGATTTGCATTTTTCCTCTACATCAAACGATCGTTTGTATGGCACCTATATGATATAATAGTCCGATTTTCATGAAATTTGACACAAAATTTAAGACTAATATAAAAATAAAAAAAAAATAGGTTATAAATTTAATTGTATTAATTTCTCGATCGTTCCTATGGGAGCTATATGATATAGTAGTCCGATTTTCATAAAATTTTATGCAAAATTGTAGAGTATAGTAAAATGGCTATATCTCAAATTTGATCCAATTCTATTGAAAACTGAAAAAGTTGAAAAATTTTTTGTAAAAATTTTTCGATCATTCCTATGGCAGCTATATGATATAGTCGTCCGATCCGGCCCGTTCCGACATATATACGAGTGAGAGTATATAGAAAGCTAACTACAAAGTTTCATAGAAACGTTTGCGTAGAAACGGACAGACGGACAGAAGGACAGACGGACAGACGGACAGACGGACATGGCTAGATCGACTCGGCTGTTGATCCTGATCAAGAATATATATACTTTATATAGTCGGAGGTGCCTCCTTCACTGCGTTGCAAACTTCTGACTGAAATTATAATACCCTGCAAGGGTATAACAATGGTTTTCATTTTAACTGTTTCATTTGCGATTTTAATGGAAACTTAATTAATTTCTAAACATCGACAACAAATAATCAAATAATCATGTAATGCAATTTCCAATTCAATTGCTAACAATAATTATTTAAATAGATTTTAATTTTTGAATTAATAAAATCAATTCATATTAAAATACCTTTCATAGAAAAAAATGATGAAAAAACGAAACTAAAAAAATTGTGGCTTTAATGTTAAATTTTTTTAAATATTCATTAGTTCTTTTAAACTCAACTTGATGATAGACCAAAATCAAATGATCAAATGATCCTGCAATTTTCCAACATATCGACAAAAATAAAGCGCTCAATATCATAACAAAAATATAAAATGAATTGAAAAACAAATATTTTTAAAACATAATTTAAATATCTGATATTTCTCGATTTGATCATAAAGAAACTCGATTTATCGACTGTATATTGAAACGATAAAATATCGATTTAAATATCGATAGAGTATCGCTAATTTTTGCTTAATTAATCGCGTTGCTATACCATCCGTTACATGAGTATTTATAATTTTAAACCTCACCCATAATCCACATCAAATGCCAAGCTTTGACTAACCGATTTAATCAATCTATATTTATGCAAAGTTGCACATGTTGCAGCAACAGTTCCCGTACAGTCCGTCGCCTCATCCGCCAACGCCGCAGCATCACAGCACGCCGCAGCATCATAGCTCGGCGCAGGGGCCGCCAACGCCGCAGCACATGCAGCAGCAACAGCACGTGGTGCATATGCAACAGCAGTCGCCCCATCCGGGTCACCATCCGCAGCACATGCAGCAGGATGTGGTCACATCGAGCAGCCAGGTGGTGCACAGCCAACAGCAGCAGCAGCTTCAGCAGATCTATCAGCACCACGGGACGCCGGAGCGTAGTTGAGAATCACTGCACGCTGCGTCTTTAATGGGCAGCACCGGTGGAGGAGGAGGAGGAGGAGGAGGAGGTGGGGCCAGCACTAGTGGCAGCGCGGCGGCCACCAGCTCGCCCTTTGCCAGCATATCGGCGCTGGTCAGTGGACAGAGCAGCAGCGTCCCACCGCCACCACCACCGTCGGCGTCCGTTGCGGCGGCAACAGCAACTGGCACCAGCAAGCGCAAGAAAGCCACCAAGCAAAAGCGTTGAGAGCAGGATCAACTGCAGCAGGAGCAGGAGCAGGAAGGGGAGGAGGAGCCAGAAACCATTGCCGGAGTGGCCAGGCCCGAGGACATCAAGTTTAGATTTAATTGCAGGCACTGGAAGCGCAAGCTAAGGCAGTTTCATTCGTTATTGTCCAAAAAACCAGCGGCAGCAGCAGTAGAGTAGTTAGTCAGTCAGTTGGAGAGACGACCCACAGACACAAGAGACACACACCTCCCGAGGATCTAACCAATCACAAAAAAAGAAGTAACATCCTTGAACTACATATATGGACATTAATTACACAGTCGAGATGTGTATAAAATGTATATATTTAACGAGAATATGCTTTATCTAAATTAATACGGAACATAAGTAGTAAAATAGGTATTAGGTTCGCAAAGTCCTTTGGTTCTAGCCAGTAAGATGAAAAGGATAGTAGTAGAGGAGAGGAGAGAAAGATATAGATATATAGACATATAAACTAGAGCGTAAGAGGAAAATGAATTTTTGCTTTTTGCCTAAACTCGAAAAAGAATATGAATATTCGTTTTGGGCTAAGCAGTTTTAAGAGCACTTTGTTATCAATGGACAAATATATATATACATATATATATATATATAGACACGCCTCTATATCTGGGACTCTCGTGATTATTTAAAGAACCTTTTGAGCCACGTCTTGTTATAATTTACTTCTTAGTGTGAGACTGAAAGTGCGCCTAAAACTGTCTACAAAAAACAAAAAACAAAAAAAAAAACAAGCCCAAAACATACAATATACAACATAGAACCCATGAACCCAACATGAAGAATCAAATGCTTTATATCCATTACATTATGTGAAACGGGAGAAAAGAGTAAAAGGATAAAATACCTTAAAGTAGAATTAAACCAACCAAATTATCAAGGTTCTAGCTTAGACTCATTAGCTCTAAACCGCAATGAAAGTTATTTGAATTTAAAACCAGAAGGGCGCCCTGAAGCAAACTTACCATAATTGATTTTATTTGATTTCACAACTGAATTCATGAGATATTGTATCCAATAAATAAATGTAGAACTTGAATGAAACATGGAATAAAGAAATTGTATTTTTTATAGAAATCAGGAACAAATACAGTAGCAAAAGCCGCCGAAGTTTAGCGAAACGTAAACTTCAAATGTTAATATTAAGCTTCAAAATAATGTCTTTTTCGGAAATTTCATTAAAAAAGAAAAGAAAACAATGCAAGTGTAAGAGAAATCAATCAATAAAGCAACCGTATATAGATGGATACACACAAGAAATCTATATGAATGAAAGTAATACAAAGAACCCTTCTCTCTTTAATTAGAAAAAAAACTTGATCATTTTTAAATAATTGCAAAAAATCAAAGATCGTCAAGGGAAAAGGAGAAAAATTATATTGAAAATTTTTAAAAACTAGAAAAAAAAACAAAATAAAATTGTATAATAACTTCCACTAGAGCGTATTCTACACATATTTAGGAATCTAAACAAAAGATAAAAAAAAGGAAACGGAAAAACAGATACTTGTAAACACACGTACACAAACCCATCTGAAGTTACTTCAACTATTTTGGTTTCATCTCAACTATAGAAAGTGTGCAGAGGAGGAAGGATTTTAGAAATTTGTAAATACATTTAAACTAATTTAGTTTCCTTAGGTTCTTTAAGTTGAGCTAAGCGAAGAAGGGAATAGGTATATATATATCTGAAATTTACAAGAATCGAAATGTTGCAAATTAATTTATTTTAGCGTTATAGACCCGTAGAACTGAATGCAATATGCTTACCTTAAACTCAACATTTAATTTAATTCTATTCCTATTATATTTAGTTGGAATCATAATGTTTTTATATAGCTAAACCTGTATATCATTGTAAATTAATTAAAGCATACGAAGTAGCATCTACAAGAGTTATATTAAAAGTAAACAATACAAAAACAAACAACAAATATCATTATAACCTTGTTAAAATTGTCGCAAGAGCAATTAAAAAATGAACCCAGCTAAGAACTTAAAGATGAAGAAGAATCGAAAATCGAAAATAAATGGAAATCACAGAAGATTTAAATAATAATAATAACGAAAAATATTACATTTAAAATTTTAAGCTAAACTAAATGTGTAAGAGTAAACTTTAACCACACAATATTATAGCACATTTTGGATTATCAAATATGCATATACAGCAAAATATCTACTATAAACCGTAAATGTAAAGGTAAACCCCAAAAAAAGAGAAAAAGGAAAAAAAAACACAGAAAGGAAACAATCTATGTAACAGCCGAAATTAGCGAAAACAACCCATGTAATAAATAAACAAAAACATTTAATGTAATATTGGTATAACGTAATTTTTAAAGTGAGGTACTATAAATAAAAATTATTAAATAATATAAAAATCTATAGTTTCTTTTATTTTAAATACTGTATAATGAATTTTTTTATTGATTCCCAAAACAGGGGTGAAGTTCATCCCCGGAAGTGTTGTAATACTTTTCTGTAGAGTTTAGATAATTATTCAAGTTGACAATGTGGAAATACACGTATACATATGTACATATTTAAATCACTGTTTACTTTCGGACGACAATCTGTCGTTGATTGATTTAAAGGAACAAAAGTGATGGGGCAACATATAATTCAGATTCATGATCAGCAAAGAAAGCTTTAAGTTATTTGCGTTCAGATTAGGGATGTACATATGCAGTATCTAAAGAGGGTATAATATCATATGTACATACAAATTTCGCGCTTAAAATCAAAGATATGTTGCTAACTTTCATATATCCTATTTTTAACTATGGAAAATTCGAATAAAATTGATCGTTAAAACCTTGTAATTATTGATATAATATATCAGAAAATATATATCAGAATTAACGATTATGATCCAATATATTAAAGAGAATATTGTTTTATCGCGCATGTGGTGCAACTTCTACTTCTTCTACTCCTCCCTCAAAAAAGTAGAGTAAAAGTTAAAGTAGGTCGCCCACTGAATCACATTCTGATTTTATGTATATTTTATTATTGCTTTATAATTAATTCGAATCAAGGAATTTAACAAAAGAATAATACTTAATCTTGACGTTGAGAAAATAACAATACATTTATATTGTACTGATTAATTGGGGTCAATGCAAGTCTTTTCTTTTTATTCATTTCGAAGAAAATGAATTGCATGAAAGTTAAAGTATTAATTTAAAATTTTAAATTTTATTTTCTTTATTTATTTCTTTTTAGAGAACAAATTTGTTTTGCGCTATTACATTATCCGTATTGTCTTCAAATATACTAAACTTTGTACATTCTCCCCTTACAGTGTAACAAAACGTAAAAGCTTTGCCTCTGTTAACCCTGATCTTGGCTCTGGGGAATGTTTTTGGCCAGTAATGTTAGGCAGAGCTTTTCTGTAAGACACTCTCTGCTAGGGGTATTATTATTATGATTCTCTCTCTCTCTCTCTGCCTTGCTCTTCGCTCAGCTGGCGCATGCTCCGCTCTTCTCTCCCACATGTTGGATTTATTTGACTTTGCTCACCTAGAAGCGGAGGAAGATGCCAAAGTAGTCAAAGTTCTGCTGGCTGTCCATGTGAACGAACGAACGGTGCTTTATCTGGTAACTTTTCCGCGATTCGAACCCTCTGCACCGCTTCCTTTCGCGACGCAAAAGATTTTTTAGCAGGAAAAAAATAAATATAAGGAAAAATAAAGTAAAGAAGAGGCGAAAAGGAATCAGCAGGACCAGCATTTTTTCCTGGAAACAAGAAAGGAAAAGGAGACAACAAAGGAAATTGCTTCATTTTCGGTGGAAACAAAAGAACGCTTAAAGAAATTCCGTAAGTGTCGATGGGGGAAATCCTCCTCGTTATCAGTGCTAATTGATTAATCAGCGCATTAAATGTGTGTTTATATTACTGAATCAATTGAAACGGACTTGACTTGATTGAATGAAAGTGAGTGTGAAGTGGCTTCTAATTGAAAGATTAAATATATAATATATAGATGATAGGCGGAAGTGGCAATTGAAAAATTCGCATGATTGCGAATTTTCTAACCCTGTGTGTGTGTGCTGAATTATTAATGCTAACCCCAGAGGGAGGGAGAGTGGGGGATGCTAAATCGGAGTCAAAATCGGGGCCAAAAGCACGGGGCCCAAGCAAGCCCGAGCTAACTGCATAAACAGTTTATTTTATATGCCAGAGGACAGCTGCAAGTTCAAGTGTACAAAACTCGTAACCCCCGAGAAATTACATTACGCATGATACACACACACTAACAAACACTCCAGCACTCCCTCACAGGGATAGCCAGTGGGTATGATGTGCGTGTGTTTGTGCAAAAGCTAACGCTCGTCGCTCAACACGTTTTAAAATATTAACTTAAAACAGACATGAGCAAAAACAAAAGGAAAAAACCAGCAACAAAAAGTACCTGACAATAATAACAGCTACCAAACAACGTGCTTATTAAGAGAGAACGAGAGGAAGTAAATCAAGAGAGGCAGAGAACAGCAACGAAAGCTTTCTCTCCCTCTGTTGGGTTCCACTTCTCTAATATTCTCTCGAATTCTCTCTTTATCTCGCACACAGCTGATTGCCAGAATTGTAACGGTATTTGGTAGTTCTAGCACTTGCAGCCCACTCTTACCCACCCCCTTATTGTTCTTACAACAAGTGCTGCGAATAAGTGTTTCGTGTTTGCTGATGTTTGCCATGTCTGCCGATGTCTTTGGGCCATTTGAACTTGGCATCACACACAACTGGGTCTAGGCTAACGGGTGTGAACGCCTCTAGACATCTTTTATAGGCCGTTTGACCTTGAAGATTCCGGAAGAACAAGGGTGAATTTGTCAAAAATAAAACAAGAAAAGATGAATATAGTTCCCATGCTGATCAAAAGCAACACATAATTATGGAATCATTTTTAAATTAAATAGTTTATATAGATGATGTTGATGATGTATGAAAAATTGATCAATTTTGTTTTATTATTCATTTTAAAATTTTTTTTGGATTGGTGCCTCATAAATAAACATGGAAAGGTCACATATTATTACATTTATTATTCACACAGTTATTTATTACTATAGATTTTGTTACAGTAGCTTCCTAATTTGGAGTATTAAAAATATAAATTATTTTCCTTCATTATTTTTCAACCTTGAAAATTATAATTTCGGAAATCTTAATTTTAAACAATCGGAAATACCTTTGAGATAATGTGGCCAATTATTAAAAACCGAACCATGGTTCTAAATGGTTAAAATAATTAAGTTATACTTATGTCAGAAAGATTCTTTTTTATCGTTTGCTGACCTCGAAGATTTCTGAATTTTCGTATATAAAAACATACATATATGTATGTTTGTGCTGGGGACACAAAAATAAACAAGCCAAATGACACATTTCAAAAGTTTATTATGTATGGGTTGTTGTTGTTTATTTAAAGTCCCGCAAAAATACAGTTTAAAATAAGTCAATGATTATTATATGAATTATACAATCTTACATACTTTTGTTTAAATCAAATAAATGTAATAAATTTAAATAAATCTAAAGACTCATCCAATCCATATATGTAAGTAGTAGTTGAATCACAAATGGTTTTAAAGATATTTTAAAGAAACTTGTAATGGGATTCGGGTTTCTCTTCATTGAAGACAACTCAAAAACACTTGAAAACATCAATGTCAGCAGTTTTGATTAATTACTCAACAATTAAAAAGCCACTCTTGGCTTTACAATATTTTTC